TATCACCAACACACTTCAATTTTAGATATTATCATTTTATCATCACCTTATTTTAGATAACAATAATTGTAGGATATCATAATTTAAGGAGTAATAATTACATTTGACTTCATGTATAAATGACATTTAGGTGGCCAAATTATAATTATGATATAGATTTTACTTGATATTATTATATCTAAGATTTTTAATTAGACATGTTATGTGCATTTTTAGTTGTACTGACTGTAATAAACTGATTGATTGATTGACTCAAATAGACTACCATTAGAGCTGTAAACATAGACTTTGGAAGAAGGCAATAGCAAACCATTGTTGCCAAGAAAATTACATGGACATGCTCATGTAGTTACTAGGAGTCAAGTGCAACTCAGAGAACTCTATCTTGCATAATCTTTAGGTACTGTCTCCACTTTAGTCTTTTTTATTTTTTTATTTTCTTGTTTCAATGTGGGACAACAGTTGGAAAAGGAGATGCACTGGGAAGGAGAAAGAAGCAGAAATAGCAGCCGGTGTTCATCAGCAAGGAAAAAGGAGACTTAGAGGAATCATACTCAATTGATAAAGGAGGGGGAAAGTTACAAAATAAAAAAAGGAAACTACTACCTGGAGGCAGTGGAGGTGTTTGGCTATATATCTTCTAGCTCTGGCTTGCTTTTAAAGCTCCCCATTGGAATTGTATTAGACCTGCAAGGACTTGTCTGATTTTTTAAAAATTATTTTTAGTTTACCTTACTGCTGATTCATACAACAGTGTTGTCTAGATCAAGGGCTTTCAAACTTTTTCAGGCAGTGGAATCTGTTAGTTAAAAAAGAAATTTCCTGGAACTCCTAACCAAGAGACAAAGTTCACAGTTTAAAAAATTGGCCTGGTTAAGAAAAAGGATAATAAGAGATTATAGGTTTGGGTAGAGTATTATATAGTTTACATATGTCAATTCTTATATTCAAAGAAGTAATTTTTTAACGTAGATGAAAAAGTTATAAGGCTCTTTCTAAAGGAAATAGGAAAAAAACTTTTTATGGTTTACAGTAGTGTTATTATTTGATAATTGAATCATTCAATTAAGATAAGATACAAATCAAGGCTTAATGATATGCAACAATAAAAAAATATAATTAATGCTAAGATATTACTGACTATGATGAATTTTCAATTTGTCTCTTATGAATTAATTTTATCCATTTAATATTTTTTTTTAGCATTGTACTGGATAGTTATGAAACTGATTTGTTCTTTAGTGTTGTTGCCACTAATTTGTGCATCGGCGCTTAATTTGGAATTTGCAGAATGGATACCAAAGAACGAGAATACTAAAGGAGATACCATGGCAGCAACAAACTTAATTTATTAAGAAATTATCCCTGAATATACTCACAGTGTTGGGGTACTTCCTCAATCTGCCACAGTGAGCCCAAGTGGTGATGACGGTCTCCAGAATTCGACTCATAAGGAAGTTGTATTTGCAGGGCAGATCTTATAGCTCTTTATCCCACTCCCCCACCCTTTGGAATGCTCACCCTGTGTCAAAATCTGCAAGGCTCAATTCCCAATCCCAGTAAATCCTCTGGAGACCGATTTGTTCCAGTAAAGATTTCTTTATTGAGAAGAAGCATACAGCGTTCCATAGATTGCTGAAACTGAAAACCCCGCACTCGGAGACTTCCTTTTAACTGCCCCCTGCTTTCAGGTTTCAGTCCTTTTTGCGCCTTCCTTCGGATCTCTTCTTGTCTCACGCCTGTATGACCTTGTGAATTCCTGAGAACCTGATAACATCTCATCTGTCTCCGCTGTCTACCTAACGCTCTCCCCCCCCTTGTTTTATGGCACGAACGAGCAAGCGGCTTGTATAAACTAACAATTCTAATAAAATAACACTTCTACTTTATGGCTGGAATAAGCAAACATTCTAACTAGGTTAACAGCTCTAATAACTCTACTAGTTGGATCCAATTGACGATTGATTGCGAGGATCCTGACACCCTGGCACTGGATTGATTAGCCAGAAGGAAATTAATATTTATGATGACATTCAGTGAGGAGGAATGAATTACAAATGAGTAAACAGGGACATAAGAGAAGATTCTCATTGAAAGGAATGTGATAGCGCTGGCTATTTGCTTAGCGTGCTCACTGCAAACCACTCTTGAAGGCAAAAACCATGAACTATTAAATTTATTAAGGTCAAGGCAAGGATTTTGTCAGTAGAAAGAGAAATGCTTGAATAGTTGGGGAGATTATAAAAGAAGCATAGGATTTGAGTTTGACTGCACCAAGCTGCCTGTTTTAAAAGTTGATTATAAAATTATGATTAAAAAAGGACCTGGATTATGACTCTTCCAAAGAGCAGTCTGCCCAAAGAGGGCCCAAAAACAACATCAGTGTCAATTTAATTAGAAAAGGGGGCATTTTGCACATGCAAATCAGCAATTGAATCATCAGATCAAAATCATTCAAATCACATCATTTTCATTACTCAATCTGACCAGTTAATTTGACTTGGAAATTCAAATTGTAGCCCTGAATTGAACTTTAACAAAACATAAATCTATCCAATAATTTTCAATTCAAATGGGAATTTGCTATTTCTTAACAAGTAATTTGTCTTGTAAGATCAATGCCCATATTTGAGGACTGGATAATAGACAATGTAGCACCATTTTAAAAACAGGATATTGGAGAGGGGCTGTGGGATGTTTCTTTGTGGTTAGTTTAATGTCTGTTCCTGCTGTATTGGAGGAAAGTATTTTTCAAAATAAAACAAATTTCTAACATATAGAAGAAGCCTTGCAAATGAAAAAAGTAACTTTGAACATAGAATATCAATTGGAGTATTTTAGATACACTGCCAAAACCACTGCTTCCTGTCTTTTGCCTATCTTGGTTACTGAAGGTTAATTATGAGGGCTTTTAAAGAGAAATGGTCTGTGTCACCATGAAATAATTCTTAGAGCAAGGAGAGATTTATAACTGCTATCTAGGTATTATTTCTTTTGTTAAGGTATTAGAAAAGGTGATAACACTTTAAATTGAGGTATTTTTAGTTGACATGAATTAACTTATTATCTAGATTTGAATGTTTGGTAGTCAAAGATATTTTAATGGAAGATATCTATTAATAATTGTTTCTTCTAAGACTCTGAGCATTCTAAGGCTCTGAGCTCTTCGTAACATTGAGTATGATATCTGGCTGGACCAGTTCTAAAGATTAGATGAAGTTAAGTTTTTTGCTTCAGCAAGAATTTTCCACTGTTTTTTTTTTTAATGGGAGAGGGTTATGTGGTAATATTATGTGGTTGATAGTCCTTTATACTTAATATCCATAATATTACATATTGATTAAGCTTCAGCATTTTGTGTTTAAGTTTTCAAAGATGGATGTTAGTGAACAAGTAAACCTTTCATCACACAAATTTTAGTATTTTTGCTTTTTTGTTTTAATATTTTGAAACTGTTTAATTTCTAATGGTGAAAAGTGATAATCTACATAGAAACTGAGCAACTTCATATACACTATCCTCAACAAATAAACCATATTAGAGCTTAATATCTTGGCCTGGTTCACAACATATTGAAGTATAGCTACCAAAACACAATTTAGCTCAGCCTAATACATTTTTAAAATTGAGCCTTTGAGTTCCTTGCATACTTGCTAATCTTAGAAAGCAAGTGAAACTAACCAACCTCTCTTTTCATCCTTTAGCTCACAAGTTCCCAAAATCCTAAACCTGTCTTGGATGGTGTGTCAAAAGGAATGTGTAAATAACCTATGTGTCAAAAGGAATGTGTAAATAACCTATGTAGCCAGTACTTCTGTCTATAGATAGAAATAAAAGATTTGTCTATCTGTATTTTATACCAATTGTGTTTTGATTCTTTGGGAGTCTTTATGACTTTGCAGAAATAAAACAACTTTAATTGTAAGATCCTAGTGGACAAAAATGAGGAAAAAAAATTAAAAGGAACTTAAAAATAGAATTCTACCAAATTTTTCAGTTGATAATATTTGCTGTGTACTACTTATAGTTACCAAGATGCTGCAGATTGCATGAATGATTTTAAAAGGAATTAACAAAATTACTATATTTTCCTTTTCCCCTTCTTTTTGTTTTTGCATTTCTGTATTAAAAAGCAAAGAGCTAACACAAGGAAAGATAAATAAGAAAACAGTACATCACTAGAAAAATATTAGTTTTCAAGATGTGTCAAAATAATGCTTTGAAAGTGTTTTCATGTGCTAGAAAACTGTAGGGGAAAAAGGGAATACTTTATTTAGTGGACTATAATCCAGAGTATGATTATGTTTTTCCCGAATAGGTTAGCATTGGAAAGATCATTCTGTCATTTGAACTTCTTAGTAGGACAAATTCTTTCATTCTCAGGTCCCAATCAGATTAAATTAAATTAAATGTGATGCAAGCTAAAATAAACTACATAGATGCTATAATTGCTACTAATCAGTAGGAGACACTATGCAACCAGTTTCATCCTTATTCAGGCACAGCTAATCTCCATATACTCAGACCCCTTTATCAAGACTTGAACTCATGGGCCTTCACACTGAGGTGACTATATAGCATCTTAAGCTTTAAAGCTATCTCAGCATAGCTGACAGTAGCTTGTAAGAAGGGACATCTATAGGTGCTATAGTGGTTTTCCCTTTCTTTGTGCTCTAGTGTGAGGCCCAGTAGTTCTCTAGTCTGAGAGTGCAAAAGAACAAGCAAAATAAAACAAGCAAAAAACCACTGTAACACTATTACATGGAGTTGTATAGATTAAAGATGATAGTAATCAGGTAGTACAAGGCATCAGCAGCTTATGTCTAAAAGAAAGCTTTTGGGGTATTTGGTGGTGGCGCTGTACAATTATCTTGCATATAGTGTATGTGTTAATTTTAATCTTTTGCACCATGCTTTCCAGTCATGGTTTTCTAGTGGATCATGCTATAAATTTCCAGTCTGATCAGTACTGTTGCATTAGAATTGTATTCATTTGTTCTGAAATGTATTTGTACTCTTGGATTAACTAAATAATTTAATCATATTTTCTTATTGAATATTCTCTCAAATGCTGTGAACTAGTCCTTTTTTGGTGAAATTTGTGTGGTATATTTATAATTTATTTTAGCTTGCAAAATAACATGGATGAATTTATAAAAATTCTTAGCAACACCATTAATTAAAGATTTATGTTGTATGTAGTAGATGCATTTCAATATATTGTAGAGCTATATTTTAAAAATGAAATCTAAGAAGCAAAGTAGAGATCAGTTTGGATTGTTTGATATTGGATACATGTATGATACTGTACCAGATGTAACTTAATACTTTATTATTCCTATTTTAGGAAAAACCCTTGTCTAGATCTCTTCAGAGAGGTGAAGATCTTCAATTTGATCAGGTTGGTAAAATTTCTTTTAAAAGTTAAAACCTTGTATTGGTTAGGATTTTTAAACAGGAGAGGTAATAGAAGTCCACTACATACATTTCCTAAAGAATATAAGTTGGTTGACCTAGATTTTGCTGCTCAAGTTGGTTAAAAGCAGGTTTCTATGATATCTTATATTTGAAATATTTCAGAGATAGGGTTTTTACTCACTTTAGAATAGGTAACGAAACGTTTTCAGGAAAACAGCCATGCTCAGAGAACCCCAAGGACTTCACTTTAGAATCGTTTAGTTGCACCAAAGAAGAGTTCTGATTGAAAAAATAAGACTATGTTTTTTGCTAAGCCCATTAAAAAAAGTCATTTTACCTAAAATAAAGAAATAGTATAGTTCTCAATTTCATGTTTTTTGTTTCTTCCTAGCTGATGTCAGAAGGCTGGAGTAAAGTAATTGCTCAATTCAACATCCAGTAATGCTGAAAGCATCACTTTAATGTTAATAACTCATGAACCTATAAACCTTAATAAAATTAAAATCTGTTAGGTATAAATTTAACCTTGAAATTGACTCAATATGAACAGCAGTTTGTTCTTCACTATATGATTCGTGGGTCACGAAGAATCAGACATGACTTAACAACTGAACAACAACAACATATTGTAATGTGCTCATTGGAATTGGAAAATCTAAAATCAAGAGCACATGGAATTGTAACTTCTTATATCAAGTCTGGGTTTTATACCAGCCTGGGGTTCTATCACTGCCTAAATGCTAATCACCAATAGAAAAACATATTCACCTATAATCTAGGAGTTGTCAAATTGTGGATTGTGATCTTGCTGAGAAACCATGAGCAACTTAGAAAGAAGCCACAATTTTAAAAAAAAATGTCTCAGGTATTGTAATCATGCTCAGACTTTTCAGTATTACTAAGTTTACGGTTAGTTTTCCACATGTGTCCTTTTCTTAGCTAAGGTACAAGGATTCTTTAAACCACCAACAATTCTATATTCTTTAAATTACAAGGCATTATTTTGTGTAGCTTTTCTGAGAAATATTTCTGTGTCTCTGGCATTTCTACGAGTGAGCCTAGTAGTATATCAATAATATTGAAAATATCTGTAGAAGGTTATGGGATTGTAAAGTCAGTATTATTAGCTGTTTTAAATGTCTAGTCTTTCAGAATGGAAACATTTCTGTTGGGTGGTAAGAAAACAGCTAAAGATGACCATAGTGCTGCTAAAAGTTGGCAGCACCTTATTTGTGTGAGTCAGGTTTTTCCACAGTTGCTGCTACACCTATCAAAAATAAATGTGGAATGAGAAATGAGTATTGCTGTCATAAAAAAGAAAGGTTAATTTTTTAAAAAATTCAGAGGAAATGTCACACAAATTCATTTATCATTTAAGGATCACAGTGTGCAGAGTTTGAGAACCCTGATCTAGTATAATTTAATACAAAGCTTGGTGTTCATGCTACAGTATGGAAATGACAGAGCAAAGATGCTTTGGTATTATTGCTGCACTACAATATGGACATCCTATCCATACATATGTAAGAGAGAATGTTCTCAAAAGGATGCTATATAGACTGATTACTCTATAAAACCCTTAATCTTTTCTCTTGACAGTTGATAAGCTCTATGAGCTCAGTAGCAGAGCACTGTCTCCCCTCCTTATTACGCACCTTGTTTGACTGGTACAGACGCCAAAATGGAACTGAAGATGAATCTTATGAATACAGGCCTCGTTCCAGCACAAAGTCTAAGGGGTGAGTGCATTGCAGTGATACACACCCTTGGGATTTTCTTATATGTTACTGCTGTAATTACATATAATAGTTTGAATAATTCAATGTTTTATAAATGACAGCTTTAATGTAGCCTAAACATGTTAGGCTTATTATCTGTCAGCTCTAAACTCAAACCCCAATGCACACTCTCACATAAATTAGTCTTCAGCTTCATTGATGAGACAACTTGATAACACTTAAATAACAGATAATAAATATAGATGGTCAAATATTGAAACATAGTTGCATGGAATAATAAAAGTGGTATTATGATGAACAAAGTCAACCATGCAAGACCAGACAGCCTAGCCTGCAACTTTAAAATGGCAGAGGACCAATGCCAATAACAAAGATATATTTCTTTGGAAAAATGGTTTAAAGAAGATTGGAAATTTTGCCCAAAATAAATAAATAAAGCAGTGCATGCTAATAGGCAGTCATGGTCATGCTTACATTTTCCTTCTGTAGCTGTATCAATAATTGACCAGCCGTGGTCTATTATATGTAATTACAGATGTAAATGCAGATACTCAGAAACAATTAGCAAATGATATAATTCCTTGTTGGCTTAAATATAGTAGCGGTTGCTGACTATTGCTTTGAACAATAATGATCAATTGGGTGTTTCTCTGAACTTAATTTCCTAATCGTTTTTCTTAAAATTTTTGTTTCTGCTGCTGTCAGATGGTAAGGGTAGTATGGAATTCCAGGATGAAGATGGGCATGAGTGTAGAAAGATTTTGTATAACTTTGTTGCTTGCGTGCATATTCATAAAAAAAGTTACATGTATTTCTGTTTTGAGAAAGTAGCCTGCATTATGTCTAATGTATCTGACATTTGTATTTGTTTCAGGGATGAGCAGCAGCGCGAGAGGGATTATCTACTTGAACGGAGGGACTTAGCTGTAGATTTTATTTTTTGCTTAGTTTTAGTAGAAGTTCTAAAACAGGTAAGCTCTTTAATTTCTGCTAGATATAAACTAATATTTTTTGTTTTAATTTCAAAAACAGCTGAATGTCTATGTGTCCTGCTTAAGGATGGAGTCCAAAACTGAAGTGTATGTAAATAGAGGAAGCTCAGTAATCTTTGCAATCACCTTAAACATACCTTGTATCCTAGTCTTTTTTCTCTTACATTGTGCAGTGTAAAATATAGTTCTATTAAAATGAAATTAATATTTCTGTGGAAAAAAAGAGTTCAGAATAGTAGAATGTAATTTAATTTATTCAGATCCCCAAATAAAAATATGCCCTTCTATATATTAGCATATAAGTTTTATCCAATTACAGTACAACTTGCATTCTGATAAAATGTCTAAGCCATAAAGATAAGCATTGCATGCCTTCTCTGTTACAGATACCTGTTCATCCAGTGCCTGACCCTTTAGTTCATGAAGTTCTAAATTTGGCTTTTAAGCACTTTAAACACAAGGAAGGGTAAGTATATTTAAAGCACCTAAATGTCTTTAACCATTTCTGTCCTTTGAGCGAGTACTGACCATTCCAGTATCTCAGAGAAGTTGCACTAATGCAAAACTTTGGGTTCAACTTGTTAATAAAATTTTCATTTTGATTAGTTACTTAAGTTTTATTTAAATTTTTGCTAAACAGTGTTTTTGTGATTTAACTGATACCTATCCCACTGAGTTTGGCTGAATTTATTCCTAAAGAAATGTGTATAAAATTGGGGACTGAAAAGAGAAAGAACATGCAGATACCCCCTCCAATCCTATATTGCAAAATAATAGCCTACTAAGATATTAAAATGCTATTTAATAATATCTAAAATATTAGGATGGTTAATAAATAACCCTGGATAGATACAGTAAAATTAAGAATAAACATAGAAGTGGTTAAGATTCTGCCTAGTTGGTTTCAAATGTGGGAAATTCTACTCTGTAGTGGTTACATGATTTTGGGGCCTATTGCTATAGGAATAGTGCAAAATTTTGTTACACTCCTGGAAGTTGTTGATTTATCTGCTAGAAAGTGGAGAGTGAGGTGGTGGTATTCAAAATTTGCATGATAGATTGGTACAAGAGGGATGATAGATTTTTGCACCGTTGTAAGTTAAAAGGGCAATATGGATGATTGTTTCAATCATTAGCTGTCAGGAGCAGAGAGCAAATAGTCTGAAAGTTCCATGGGGAAGGGGCATTCAGTGTGCCTTTCCAGGTGTGGCACTGATTCCCCAGGTCTTTTACAGAGTCAGGAAATTTAGAGCAGATGCAGTCTTTGTAACACCTCTTCTGTCCCAAGTATTTATCCAGAGCAGAGTTCTTCCAGCTAACAGTATGGAATCTGCTCACATCTAATTTAGTCAGATAGTTTATTGTTGGTATCTGGGAAACATACTAACTGTGTTTGCAGTGCTATATGGAAACCCTTTTTTGCATGCTGAGCATACCTATAACCCAGTCTTATGTCAGATCAATTGCATTTTTTAATTTTTGCAGGTTAGATTTGATTGTTGTGAGCTGCCCAGAGTCGTTGAGAGTCAGGTGGCACACAAATGTAATAAATTGTTGTTGTTATTGTTGTTATTTTGGCAGCCTTGGCTCTAATATCATTGAGCTCATGCAGCTGGATTGAATAGTATTTTAGGTAATCACTCCCATTTAAACAGTTACTGTCTTGGGTGTCTCCCCAGAAATCTCCTCTAGGCACTTACATGAACTCTCAACTGGATCTTTAAGAACTAAAGATTTTTTGTTTATTTTGTTTTTGAGTTCATACCTTCTTGTTCAGTTAGTTATTGAAACTTAAAATACTCTGTAGTGGCCATCATTTTGTCCAGGACAGTTTTGGTATTGGAGAGCATTTTGAATTTCCATTGTCTTTCCAAGATTGGCTTAAATGTGGGGGAGAAGCTTTCTGCTATTGTACACCTACAGTTGATTTTTAAAGATAAACCTGTCTGAAAAAGAATGAACATTGTGGTTCAAAGGTATCTTAATTTAAGAAGTGGAATTTGGTTACTAGTTTCAGGAGGAATCATTATCCCAAGATATGAAATACCACCCCTGAAACTCAGAGGACAGAAATTCATTTTAAATCTATATTTTTTTCTTGAATTGATAGTGTATAGCTTACACTTATATGCAACGTTGTGTTAATTGTATACATTCCTAATAACAAATTTGTGTTTTTTGTTTTATACACTTTCTTTTCATTGTAGGTATTCAGGAACCAACACTGGAAATGTCCATATCATTGCAGATTTGTATGCAGAAGTGATAGGGGTTCTTGCCCAATCAAAGTAAGCAGCTCCTTTTTCAAGATTCAGACATTTATTCTTTGCCACATGTTTGTATATAAAATGCTTAATGATAATAGGTAGTGTGCTTTTTTATCATAACAAATAGCTACATAGCTACCTAAATAATATCTACTGATCAGTTGTCATAGCGATGAATTGTTATCTCTGTTAATGAGTTCATTCACTCTGAGTATTTTCTTTCAAAAAAATTTTTTCTTATCTCAAACACACAAAAATAGCTTTTTATGACATCACTGCTAAAAATCAAATTGACTTTTTCATATATCTTAATGTGATCTAGTATGGCCCAGTATTGTTTGTATGGATATAACTATCTTTTAAAAATGAGAGCAGTTATTTGACTGTTTATAGGAAATCTTTTTATCCATTATTCTTTTTAAAAACCTTGGTATCTGCCTTTCTGTGACTTAGGTTTCAAGCTGTTAGAAAAAAATTTGTCACAGAATTAAAGGAATTAAGACAAAAGGAACAGAGTCCTCATGTGGTACAAAGTATCATCAGTTTAATTATGGGGATGAAGTTTTTCAGAGTAAAAATGTATCCTGTAGAAGATTTTGAAGCATCATTTCAGTTCATGCAGGTAAGCTGTTTCATCATATTATAGTTAACATCATTGGTGTGCTTATCCTTTACAGAATACCAGAGTGCAAGTTGTTGCTGTATACTTCTTAAAATTAGGTAAAAGGGGAAGTAAAGGATAGTACAGTGGAGACAGAGATAAAACAACATAGAACTGTTTAAGTGATACATAGTTTTCCCTGTGACATTCTATGGAAGCGAAAGTTGGACTTTGAAGGAGGATAGAAAGAATATTGATGCTTTTGAACTTTGGTGTTGGAGAAGACTCCTGAGAATACCATGGATAGCCAAAAAAAGAAACAAATGGATCACTGAACAAATTAACCCAGCCATGAATGACCAAGCTCAAATTACAGTGGTACCTCAGGATATGAACGCCTCTGCTTGTGAATTTTTCAAATTGCGACCAGCTCCGCCCACAAAATTTTACCTCGGTGTGCGAACTCCGCGGTGGGGTACGAACCGGATAGGTGGCCATGTTCCACCGT